CCCGTTACATTTTGTAAACAGGAATCGGAGGATCGGCCATATTTATCCCATAAATTGTTGGGTGTTTTGTAAGATTTTCAACTCAAAGTAGTTGATATTAGTAGCTTCTAAGCCAAAAGTTAATCACTGTTTATTTCAATGTTTTATTATTTCATTATATCAAGGTTTGAATATTATAAAGAATGACAAATGATTTATATATATATATATATATATATATATATATATATATATATATATATATATATATATATATATATATATATATATGACAATGTCAGACCACGGAGGAAAATGAAACAGGAATTTCCTTAAGTACTTTCGTATATTAAATACATCTTCAGAAGGAAACATGATTCCTTCTGAAGATGTATTTAATATACGAAAGTACTTAAGGAAATTCCTGTTTCATTTTCCTCCGTGGTCTGACATTGTCACATTCTTAATCACGTGTTTATTTTCGTGATATACACACACACACACATATATATATATATATATATATATATATATATATATATATATATATATATATATATATATATATATATATATATATATATATATATATATATATATATATATATGAATTTCTGGCTTCATGGGATTAATAACTGCCGTCCCAGACTGGAGAACAATATTGCCTTCGTATATTATAAAACAACTGTGTGTATTTGATGTTTTTTATGGGATATGAAGAGCCAGAATATTCAGGTCTAATATAGGTTACTGTGAAATATTGCCGGAGGATATTATATTGTGTATTAGTTCGCCTCCCTGTAATTGGACTGGTGTATAGGTACATTTATACACTAATAGTTTATTTTGGCGATAAAGTTCATTTTGTCGTTAATGCGACCATTAATACATTTACTAGCATTACCTGGGCACACTCATATGTATACAATACATATACACATATACACACACACACGTTCATTCGAGTTAGGGGGCCTCGCGGCTGAGTGGACAGTGATTGGGGGTCGTAGTTCTAATGGCTCGGGTTCGATTCGATTATTACGTTTTCTGACGTCTGGAAACTTTTGTTGTTATGTCATTCTCAAACTGCTACTCTGCTTCTACCCCGACAGTACCCACATAGAGTGAGTTGGGAGTCACAGCATTAGACAATCAACAGCTTTTTTGAAGGTATCCAGGAGCTGACAATCGACCCAGCAAAAACAGTTAGATAAGTACACAGTCCCGTGAGTTAATGAGAAGACTCCGGACCACAAAAGATCGCCGGAGACTGCGAGAGAATCGTGACCAAAAATTTGACTCGACAAAGTCTGGTGTCGTACCTGATTCCTTGGGGGTCAAGTCCGATGTGTCGGGGAGTTTACCTCCATGTGTGTGTGTGTGTGTGTGTGTGTGTGTGTGTGTGTGTGTGTGTGTGTCGGTTACAAACCGACCAGCAGGAATAATAACTAAGTCCTGAACAAATTTCATAACTTGAGTCAACTCTCTGTGTATATACATGAGAATTAGGTTATATCCCCCCGGTGTATACATACCTTGAATATTTCGTTTGATTCAGTGTTGGGTTAAGATCTATCAGCCTCGTGTGTTACCGACTCAAACTTAACCGACACAAGCTTATACTCACTAACCAGCAACAGCTACTTTAGTGCTGAGTAAAGCTTAGGGTCAATATACGCTTATGTATTCACTGAGAAATTGGGTATACTTCCTCTCTGTGTATTTAAAACTGCTATTTACCAGGTATACCTCTCTCTATCTCTATATATATATATATATATATATATATATATATATATATATATATATATATATCACTGCTATACACATAGTATACCTCTCTGAGTATACTCCGTTCTCTCACCACTAATATATTAAGAACTTGTGGGAAAAGAACACTATATAATCTAACAAATATATTATTATATAAAAATACAACACATAAAAATTGGCAAATAGGGAAAACATATAAATAATTACCTAAAAAATATGTTTAAAATAGATATAATCCTAGGGATTATAAGAATTATTTGAATCGGATCAATATTTAAGAATGATTTAGGAGTGGTAGTTAAGGGCCTTGAATGGTAGTTGTGGTGTGGTTCAGCTTCCCCTCAACAATTTGCCTGTATCGGAAGGCGTCGTAAACAAGGCTGCTAATTCCTAGAAATTCCCAAGGATTCCCCTGACAGCCGTAAATGTCTTCAAGATGTTTGTGGTTTTCAATTACCTTAGCCAATTCCCTTGAGCAGAGTCTTGTGATTACCCTGGTTACTGCAGTACTGCTCTTGTCTGTCTGTCTGTCTGTCTGTCTGTCTGTCTGTCTGTCTGTCTGTCTGTCTGTCTGTCTGTCTGTCTGTCTGTCTCTCTCTCTCTCTCTCTCTCTCTCTCTCTCTCTCTCTCTCTCTCTCTCTCTCTCTCTCTCTCTCTCTCTCTCTCTCTCTCTCTCTCTCTCCCTTAACCCAATTTATCTGCCTCTCCCTCGTTCTCTCCTTTATCTCCTCGTTCCTCACGTCTTCCGTTCCACAACTCACATCTGCATCCTATAAAATATTAATGCCTCCCTCGGGGCAAGAGAGAGATACACGCATATTGCAAACTGACTTGAGATTTATCTTGCTCTCGCCAACACTATTAAATTCCGTGGCCATCGTTAGTGCTTTACATATGCCCTTTTTTCATGTAGTGATCTTCCTCTACATAAAGACTTGTCAAAAGGCTTCAAATCCTTCTTAGTTTCTCGTGGTATAATTTTTGAAGGTGTCTTTGGGACGGTTTCAAGTAACAAGAGGAAGTAGAGTGTGATTTACTAGGTACAGAAGCTGTGTGTCAGTAGCGTTCTTGTTGTTGTTCAGAGTATTCGTGAAATTCGTGAGGTGGTATACCTGTGCAGGCGATAAGTCACAATAACGTGGCTATAAGTATGTTGACCAGACCACACACACTAGAAGGTGAAGGGACGACGACGTTTCGGTCCGTCCTGGACCATTCTCAAGTCGATTGTGTGTGTCAGCAGCGGTCTTGTCTATGCTCAAAGTATTCGTGAAATTCGAGAGGTGGTATGCCTGTTTCCTGGTGACTGGCTGCTACCAGTAGCGGCCAAATTTCGGAGGTTTTTAAAATCGTGTAGCGACACTGTGACTATGTTATTGGGTTTTGTAATGAGCCGCCACCACCAACCCACACTTCATTAATACAACCGTGACGAGGAAGAAGAATGCCTTATTTCCTCTTATAAAAAACGTCACTTTTCGCTCGTATGCATCACACAAGGCCCCAAAATCGTCGTAGTAGAAAATTTAATCGACTGGCCAAAGTGACGTACTGTCCCGTTTTCTATTTTGGGTCGTCTGGTAGGTTAGGATAGGGCACTTTAAATTGACGTTTTTCTTGACGTTGGGAAACGTTAGGAGAACAGTTGGCTGCCTGGCTGGAGGATAGATAGTGAAGAGATAATAAAGAGCTGACACCGGTGTTGACAGCCAATCCCTTATTGACTTTATTTGCACCGTGACCCGCACTGACGGACGTCAGTTGACGTATGGCGCAGTCTAAGGGATATAATGATCCCGGTAGTCAAGTTGCTCGAGACTCTGCCAACGACTCACTAAGGTGGAGAGCGGCCTAAATGCCTCTGACGGCTGATAGCTATAAACTTTATTAGAAAATCGTTAAACTATTTTTGGTTTATACCGAGCTAAATTATCCCTGGGAAAGTTCAGGCACTGAAGATATTGAGCGGTGAGAGGCAGTGATTATGAATGGTAAGAGAGTCAAAGAAAATGTGAGTGAAAATAATGAAATCTGAAAGAGAGAGAGAGAGAGAGAGAGAGAGAGAGAGAGAGAGGAGAGAGAGACACAGAGAGGGAGAGGAGAGAGAGACACAGAGAGGGAGAGGAGAGAGAGACACACACATAGAGAGGAAGAGGAGAAAGAGAAAGGGGGGAATTAGATTTAAGACAGCAAAAGCTGAAAATTAGTGAATATAGCGTTAGTTTAAAAAAACATAAAACATATATCACCTTTCATTATTCATTCCTTCTATTAATATTATAAACATATATAGAATACCAATAACAAATTTATAGTCTCCCACTTATTACAACACACCCGGGTTTTCTTTGGTAATAACAAAATCATATAAAATATATATATATATATATATATATATATATATATATATATATATATATATATATATATATATATATATATATATATATATATATATATTCGGCCTGTTTTATTCCAGAGGCAGAAATGGCGTATGCAATATATGCAAGTGAAGTGAGCGCCAAATCGAAGTTTCCTCTTTCAAATACACTCGCCAAAAAAATACATCAAAGAACCAATTTTTCGCTCCAATAGTAAACCTGTCCGACAATTTGATACCACTGGAAACTCACGCTGCCTAGGGTAAGAACTCAAAGGCAAAACATATCGGGAATTGTCGGCCAAAAGAAACTACAAGTTTTAATGGTAGAAAATAAGAAGAGGTTGAGCCTCTAAGAGTATGTTGAGGGGGTGTTTGTGTGAAATGTTTAGGGGTGATTGTCTGAATGTGTATGACTGACTGACCTGTATGTTTCTCTCTCTGTCTCTCTGTCTCTCTCTCTCTCTGTCTCTCTCTCTCTCTCTCTCTCTCTCTCTCTCTCTCTCTCTCTCTCTCTCTCTCTCTCTCTCTCTCTCTCTCTCTCTCTCTCTCTCTCTCTCTCTCCGCAGCATCTCATCTCAATTTGCTTAATTTGATCTCCCTTTAAGAGCCGGAGTAGCATAGCCCGAGATTGTTGGACATTTACGAAGCGATTCTCCCGCGTGAACCTGGAGCATTAGAAAAATATCCTAAGGCCATCACTCGAGGATAAAATAAACGGATCCCAAGTAGACCTTTGGAGGTGATCCTCCAGATATTTTGACACACTCGCTGTTTTCATCCAAAGGCTGACGGCGTTTGCTGACAGCGGGCCATAAGATTAGCGAGACTGACGTTGGTCTGGGCTGACGTTTGTTTATTGGTGACGATGAACTTAAGGAACTTGAGAGGATGGATTACAGTGTATGATATTTATCCACCTACAGACAAAGCCACCTACAGACAAAGCCACCTGCAGACAAAGCCACCTACAGACAAAGCCACCTGCAGACAAAGCCACCTGCAGACAAAGCCACCTACAGACAAAGCCACCTACAGACAAAGCCACCTACAGACAAAGCCACCTGCAGACAAAGCCACCTGCAGACAAAGCCACCTACAGACAAAGCCACCTACAGACAAAGCCACCTACAGACAAAGCCACCTGCAGACAAAGCCACCTACAGACAAAGCCACCTACAAAGCCACCTACAGACAAAGCCACCTGCAGACAAAGCCACCTACAGACAAAGCCACCTACAGACAAAGCCACCTGCAGACAAAGCCACCTACAGACAAAGCCACCTGCAGACAAAGCCACCTGCAGACAAAGCCACCTACAGACAAAGCCACCTGCAGACAAAGCCACCTACAGACAAAGCCACCTACAGACAAAGCCACCTACAGACAAAGCCACCTGCAGATACGTATAAAGTGGTTGTCAAAGTGAGCACACAAAGAAGGGAACACATTTAGAAACTACTGCAGTTAACCACTGATAATTAGACAAGATTGTTACGCAATTCAGGCCAAAAATCTTCGCACTAGAAAATGCTCGTGAAATTGACATACCGTCTCGTTTTCTGTTTTGGGTCCTCTGGTAGGTTAAGATAAGAGCACTTTAGTACGACAGTTTCTTCACGTTGGGAAACCTTAGGAGGAACGGACTGCCAAAGATTAAAGTGTCGATTCAGTCGACAAAAGCGCGTCTGGGTTCCTCTGGGACGTAGGTTCGAACCCTTATCACGGCCCTTTGTGGATTTGCTCATCCTTGCCTATCTTGGCTGCGGCGGAGTGATGCCAGGCTTCCCGCCCGCGGTGGGGATCACACACGCAGTGGCGATGCTCACTTCATTCTCCTTCACAGTCATTTTCGGCGCTTTGAGAGCCCCCAGCTGCCGCCCCAAGGATCTTACACAATAACAAAAACCCGATGACTTTACAGCAAGTTTTCCCTGGGGATGTTTTTTGGTGGGGGTGATAGCCGTAGTAATAGCAGCCCTCAGACCCAACACACCTGGGCCTCAGGGCCTATCCCACAACAACAGCATTAAACAGGATGAACAACCCAGCGGGGTTTTCTTCCTATTGGGGAGTGTTGTACATGCTGCTATGGCGGTATGTCCACTCACAGGATGAGTGGCGCTGCCCAATACTGTCACTATGGCGGTATGTCCACTCACAAGATGAGTGGCGCTGCCCAATACTGTCACTATGGCGGTATGTCCACTCACAAGATGAGTGGCGCTGCCCAATACTGTCACTATGGCGGTATGTCCACTCACAAGATGAGTGGCGCTGCCCAATACTGTCACTATGGCGGTATGTCCACTCACAAGATGAGTGGCGCTGCCCAATACTGTCACTATGGCGGTATGTCCACTCACAAGATGAGTGGCGCTGCCCAATACTGTCACTATGGCGGTATGTCCACTCACAAGATGAGTGGCGCTGCCCAATACTGTCACTATGGCGGTATGTCCACTCACAGGATGAGTGGCGCTGCCCAATACTGTCACTATGGCGGTGTGTCCACTCACAAGATGAGTGGCGCTGCCCAATACTGTCACTATGGCGGTGTGTCCACTCACAGGATGAGTGGCGCTGCCCAATACTGTCACTATGGCGGTGTGTCCACTCACAAGATGATGCCCAATACTGTCACTATGGCGCTGACGCCCAATACTGTCACTATGGCGGTGTGTCCACTCACAGGATGAGTGGCGCTGCCCAATACTGTCACTATGGCGGTGTGTCCACTCACAAGATGAGTGGCGCTGCCCAATACTGTCACTATGGCGGTGTGTCCACTCACAGGATGAGTGGCGCTGCCCAATAAACTCGCCCCTCGGGGCAAAATTTACAAAATTTAACAGCAATAAAATCATAGTCCTCCACTACCTTCCACCATTGGTATTAGGAGGAATAGTATTGCTTATCACAATTATATAATGACAATAATTATGATAACTCTAGATATAATGTAAGATTTATTAGAAATTAATCTTCTAATTGTTAAAGACCTCTGGGCTAACGGTCTTTAGTTAGGTCTTTAACGGTCTTTGGACCGTTCAACCTCTGGAGTGCTATAAACAAAACATGCAGTGCAGTTCATCTCTATTATTTTCTTGTCTTTTATTATTCCTTATCATTATCACCACCACCACCCCTTCCCATATCCACATTTTCCTCCCCTCTTCATCACCCCTTTCCCCCCATCACCCCCTCCCTTCTCCCCATCTCCCCCACGGCACTTACTAGAAATAGAGGGAATGGGCCCTCGGAATAAATGATTTAATTGGCAGATTTGCTGCAACCGTTCTATCATTAATCCCAAGTAATACCCTTCATTATCTTAACGGCATTTTGGATAATTGGCTCAGAATAATAATAATAATAATAATAATAATAATATGGAAACTTTCCTTATTAGGACCACTACATAGCTTAGTTGATGGAGCTTCTGTCTCACACACGTACGGGTCAACGGTTCGAGCCGAAACGAGGAAAAAAAGAGATGAGATGAAAAACAAAAGAAGACAATGCTAGACAGCAGAAGAAAATGAGTTGATCAATATATTCCCAACTGATCTTTAATTGGAATATATATCCGACGGTCAGTTCAACACGCTTGTTATTAGGAGCTAAGTGTAAATTTAGTAGTTTATTGAAGTTAAAACCTACAGGTTATTGTGGAGAGGAGGAGGGGCTACAGGAAGAGGAGGCGGAAGAGCTGGAGGAACAGGAGGAGTAGAAGGAGAAGGAACAGAAGATGGAGAAGGAATAGGAGCAGCAGGAAAAGGAGGAGGGTGAAAAAAGGGCACTGAAAGAAAGGAAAGCTGATATAGATTAACCACTTCTGCCTTAACCCTCCCCTTCCCCCTACCTTCCTTTACTCTTTTGTTCTTCTCCTCCACCCCTTCCCTATCTTCCCTTACCCTGCCCTCCCTTCTACTTCCCCTCAAGTGATCACTGTTTAGCCGTTAGTTCGCGGTCAACAAGGACTGAGGGGGAGGTGGTAATTGGATGATTAGACGAAAAGGGAAAGAGGGGCATATATCTGAGGGGAGAGTGGGCCCTTACCAGTGGCCATGTTGTCTTCCACGTCCCCTCGTCCTCTGGTGAGTGTGTCCCCTCACTCTGGCGCCTTTCTAGCCAATTTAGACTCCAACTTAGATATCTGAATTATTCCAGGTGTCCCCTTAGTCTTGCTCACTTGTCACTGGGTGATCTCTAAGTTGTCTCCCCCTACTGTGTGACCCCCTCAATCGCCTCCCCCTACTGTGTGACCCCCCTCAATCGCCTCCCCCTACTGTGTGACCCCCTCAATCGCCTCCCCCTACTGTGTCACCCCCTCAATCGCCTCCCCCTACTGTGTCACCCACAGTTCTCTCATTTACTCTGGGCTTCACAGAATGGTCTTTTACACTATGTGTTTTTCTTCACTTGCATAAACATTTCTATTTTCTCTTTGTCTCCTCACTCAAGTTAAGCCCTCACTCTGGGCGTCGCCTTAGTTCCCTCACTAACACCTGAGAGCATCCTGTTAAGCCCTTCACCAACAACTGAGGGTATACCTTAAGTTCTTCACTAACACCTGCAGACGTCTCCTCAGACACCCTCACCAACACCTGAAAGTGTTCCATGAGACACCCTTGGTAGGGTGTCCCCTGAATGTAAGGGGAGGACCTTGGAGGTGAGACGGGGTCAGTGACAGACGTGAGAGAGAAGAGGAGAGAGAGAGATGGAATGGACGAGATAGGAGAAGAGATAAGAGCAAGTCGGAAGCGAACGAATGGACGAGTCAGGAAAGTGGTTGCAAGAAATGTCTGGGGGGTGCATGATTGCCTTCGCTGGCACACTTGTGCAAAGTAGTCACACTGGTTTAAAGATTTCTGCTAATTATCTTAGCTTCGCTGTCATCCCTGACCGCTGCTGCGAGCCCACACATGCACAAGGTCCCATGCTGAGTACATCAGCTGTAAGAGCTGTCAGTTCGATCCATGCCTCGAGGGACTGACTGGCAGGAGCCCCAGGCAGCGGGAGAGAGGGCTAATCACCCAGTTCTCCACAGCGGTGGTTCCTCGGCATCCACCGCACCTGAGCAGATAATGATGCTGATTATGTAGTAGGACAGACAAGACCACCGACGCTGGTAATTATAACTTTGTTGGAGGTGCATAGAGCTCGGGCCTGGAGATGGGTCGAGGGAGAGATGCATAGATCCTCAGAGCCACAGACGTAGACACAGTTCGACTGTGATTGCTTGCTATGACCGTCACTTATACCTTATATTTGTCATAAGATTTTTGTGAGAATTTTCACGCAAGTCGTAAGAATGGGTCTCGTAAATTCTCTAATTAAGTGTAGTAAAGTATGAGGATATTCTTAATGCTTATTTCAACCTGTCAAGAGGGAGAAGAGATGCTCAAGGGAATGGATTGAGAACGACCACATAATTAGTGCTATTACTCTCTATCCTTGGTTAGGTTGGGTAAAGGTTACTTTAGATTAAGGTTTGGTTAGGTTAGATTTCATTACCTTTGCTTATGTTAATACGGTGTATTATTGACGATAATGTGAAATATGGAATTCGAAAACTATTTTAGTATATCCGAGAATTCGAAGTATCAGAGAAAGACATCAGAGTGGTGTCATTTATCATGCATGTGGTGCAGTGAGTGGTGGTGTTAATGCCCTCCTTCCTGCAGATGATGTGAGAGGCCTACTCAGAGTGTTAGCAGTGTGTCCAGCACAGCATATGCTGCAGAGAATACAGTCTCCAGAATTACATTTATATTCCTATGCTACATTAGCCCACTTCTGTTTGTCAGAAGAGGTAGAAATGTTTTTATAATAAGGGGGGCTGTGTGATGGTTGTTATTGTAAATTATAGGACGAATCCAGGTGGTTTACCTGAAGTGTTTTCAATAGTAGGAAGGAGGCATTATATAACACTTTATAACACACCTCGAGCACGGGTTCAGGAATGGTAAACCTTGCCTCGCAGATTTAATAACAAATTATGAACAGGTAGAAGCAAAATAGAGAAGGGGGTAGCCAGACTGAATATTTGTTTAACTGTTAAAAACCCTTTCACATAGAAGGCACGCCAGTGAATATGGGCGTACATAAGCAACAGTAGACAGTGAATTAATGTGAAGGATGAGTTATCAGAGGGAGGAGATATCACTATGTTCCTTAAAGATATCACTTTAAGTTCCTTAAGATCAGTTCTCGGACCTATCCTATTTCTTCCAGAGGTTATAGAATCATCATATTTGCCAGTGAAGCAAAAAATATCAGGAGGATTAAGACAGAGAAAGACAGCAAGAGGATATCACCAGCGGCATAAGCAAGGCTGGATAACATCAGAACTGTCTTTAGAAACTTCTATAAGGAATCATTCAGAAACTTGTATATCACATATGTCAGATCAATCCTGGAGTATGTGGATCCAGCATGGAGTCCACACCTAATCAACCACAACTTGAAGTAGAAGATGGATCAAAGGTATACCACTCTACTAGTTCCAGAACTACGAGGTAGGAGATACGATGAAAGGCTAAGTGAATTAAACCTCATGTCGCTGGAAGACAGAAGAGTTATGAGAGGCGATAACCACAGAGGAACTGATATGGTACATGGAAACTGCGTACCCAAATGAGCCACAGAAACATAAGAAATTATTTTTTTCAGTGTCAGAGTAGTTAACAAAAGGAATGCATTACTTAGCGATGTGGTGGAGGCTGACTCCTTACACGGTTTCAAATGTAGATATGATAGAGCTCAGTAGGCTCAGGAACCTGTACACCAGTTGATTGACAGCTGAGAGGCGGGAGCAAAAGCTCAACCCAGCAAGCACAACTTGGTGAGTACAACTAGGTGAGTACACAGGCGCACGCATGCACAAATGTATGCAAACAGCGGCAATAATAGTCATATACATCCAACACAAGCACGGGCCCGACGTGTTTGCTTCCCATTATAACCTGCTTATAATACCTTAAAGAATAATATTAAAAGGTTTTGTGAACATTTTCAGCTGACATTTTATGACCTCAGACTTCCTCTGTGTCAATACCTCGTTAGTAGGTTGTGTGATGGTGGTGGTGTTGTGGTGGTGTGGTAGTGGTGTGGTGGTGGTGTGGTGTTGTGGTGGTGTGGTGGTGGTGTGGTGGTGGTGGTGTGGTGGTGGTGGTGGTGTGGTGGTGGTAGTGGTATTATTGGTAGTCGTGGTAGTGGTAGAGTTGATGGTGGTGGTGTTGGTGTTGGTGGTAGTGGAAGTAGTTGTGGTGGTGGTGGTGATTGTGAATTGGTTGGTTGTGTTAGGTAGGAACTGGTATAATGTGTTTATGTTTCTCTTGGTTTCTTTGTCTCTCTCTCTCTCTCTCTCTCTCTCTCTCTCTCTCTCTCTCTCTCTCTCTCTCTCTCTCTCTCTCTCTCTCTCTCTCTCTCTCTCTCTCTCTCTCTCTCTCTCTCTCTCTCTCTATCTCTCTCTGTGTGTCTCTCTCTCTCTCTCTCTCTCTCTCTCTCTCTCTCTCTCTCTCTCTCTCTCTCTCTCTCTCTCTCTCTCTCTCTCTCTCTCTCTCTCTCTCTCTCTCTCTCTCTCTCTCTCTCTCTCTCTCTCTCTCTCTCTCTCTCTCTCTCTCTCTCTCTCTCTCTCTCTCTCTCTCTCTCTCTCTCTCTCCCCTCTCCCTCTCTCCTCTCCCTCTTTTTTTTACCCTCTCCGATATAATTAGTTTTTTTACAAATCCACAAAATTGTGTAAGAAATTGTTAGTAATTAACTCCCCTGTTAATCTCTCCTATAAAATGCTTTTGCCCTAAATGGAATAATGCAGAATTCCTAAGTTCTCTTGGGTATTACCCTAAATCCCCAACCTTGGGATTTACAGTTGTAGACAATCCACGATAATCCTGGGGTTTAATCCCCTTCAAGCCCCCCATTGTTTTTGTCAAACTCACAAGAGGTAGAAAGTGAACAGTTAAGAGTAGTTTGCCAAATATTATGTTTAAAATAACTTAATAAATACACTCACACACCCAGACATATAAACATACAATCACTACTGATTTTACTATGTATCAGGTCAGCAAAATTCACAATACTATCTCCTTTATTACACTTTATCTTTCGTACCTTTTGTCTTGCTCTAAGATTTTCTTCTCTTCACCTCTCTCTTGCCTATTTATTTCCATCGCCTAATTTCCTCATCACAATCGACTTGAGAATGGTCCAGGACGGAGCGAAACGTCGTCGTCCCTTCAACTTCTAGTGTGTGGTCTGGTCAACATGGATATTGAAGCCACGCGTGAACAAGGAGCGCAGACGAGTGGCCAGGATGATGGAAATGCCTTCTTTAGAATATGAGAAGGCAAGCAAATGGAATTACCTTGATTAAGAGAAAGCAGAATATACCATAAATATTTTTGAAAGATATGACAAGAAATAGAGGAGTCGGGAGTCACTGCATTAGACAACCGACAGATGAAGAGCCGGGGGTCAATAGCTAGCACTCGACCATGCCAGCACATGTAGGTGAATTCATGCAGGTGAATACAAACCATCCATCACAAAGACTTTTTCTGGGACTCACAGAAGATCAGGCGTAGACGTTGTAGTCTTAAAGGAATTACCAGATATAAATGCCTTATGGTAAATCTCCAAGGGAGAGGATTAAAAGGATTAACTTCAGTGCCGGAGGCGAGAATGGGGGATTTAGAGGGGAATGAGAAGAGTCAAGTTAGTTGA